ACCCAGCAAGAGCTGAAGGTCAGAGCTGGATGAAGCTAGGAGGACCACATCATCCGCAAAATGCAGAGACGAGATTCTCCTGCCACCAAACTCGACACACTCCTCACCACGGCTGCACCTAGAAATTCTGTCCATAAAGGTTATTAACAGAACTAGTGACAAAGGGCAGCCCTGGCGGAGTTCAACCCTCACTGGGAACAGGTCTGACTTACTACCGGCTATGCGGACCAAACTCATGCTCCTCTGGTAAAGGGACTGAATGGCCCTCAACAAAAGGCCACCCACCCCATACTCCTGGAGCATCCCCCACAGGGTGCCCCTGGGGACATGGTCATAAGCCTTCTCCAAATCCACAAAACACATGTGCGTTGGTTGGGCAAACTCCCATGCCCCCTCAATCACCCTTGCAAGGGTATAGAGCTAGTCCAGAGTTCCACGGCCAGGACGAAAACCACATTGCTCCTCCTCAATCTGAGATTCAACTATCGATCGGACCCTCCTCTCCAGTACCTTGGAGAACCTTTCCAGGGAGGCTGAGGAGTGTGATCCCCCTATAGTTGGAACACACCCTCCGGTCACCCTTCTTAAAGATGGGGACCACCACCCCGGTCTGCCACTCCACAGGAACTGCCCCCGATGACCACGCAATGTTGCAGAGACGTGTCAACCATGACAGCCCTACCACACCCATAGCCTTGAGATACCGAGGACGAATCTCATCCACCCCCGGGGCTCCGCCGCTGTGTGGTTGTTTGACTACCTCAGCAACTTCTGCCCCAGAGATTGGATAGTCCATCCCCAGGTCTCCCGGCTCTGGCTCCTCCTCGGAATGCGCGTAGATGGGATTGAGGAGCTCCTCAAAGTATTCCTTCCACCGCCCGCAATTACAACCTTCACAGAGATAATTGGGATGATGTTTAAAAACCAGATATGGGCACGGACATTCTTTTTATGTGTTGCATTGTTTCAGATCGCATCATGAAGTGTATCCAATTGAAAATAGTCAGCAGGAATGAATCGTATTGAAGCACATCAGCAGAGTGCTTTGCTATATCTTAATGTATCGCACATATGTCAGACACAAGGCCCGCGGGCCAGATGCGGTCCGCGGAGCATTTTTATGTGGCCCGCAACATAAATATCAAAAATATATTAAAACTGGTCCTCTGGCCGATTTGACCGCAAAGACTTCAACTCCCATGATGCTTTGCGGCATCAGCGTGGAGCCGACGCACCCCCTCCTTTGTGTTTTTTCCAGCGCCTGCTGCCGGTGTCTGCAGCTCCGCTGTCTCAGACAAATGAAACACTCCTCTCACTCAGCGCCGAGTTCACTCAGCTATTTTCTGATGTTGAAGCCCAGAAACGGAGATTCTAGCTGCTCAGTAATGTGTTCACGACTGAAAGAGAAAGTTTTCCAACTAACTTCCAGACAGAGCCGATATAACTCCAGCGAGCAGCGACACGCCCAAACCAGCATGACTCTGTGGTTGCTGTCGTTGTGTTTCCTCCCCGACACACAACAACGTGGTCAAGCTGCTCAGACATGTTCAGCAGCACAAACCTATGTGAGCACCTGTTGTCATCTAATGTTGTCGTTATTATGATGAAGATGAACAAAACAACAGGAGTCTCCTCCTCAGCTCAGATCAACCCCATGATGCAGGTATCTGGCTGGAACAGGTAAGCATCACAGTAAACCAGTGGAGCAAACTGAGCTTTAAATATGTTGGTTTTATGCTCTTTTCCTGCTCCAAAACATGAAAGTTAACAGGTGAAATGTCGCATTTTCATTTGAGATAAAATGGTATTTTTATTTTGTTGTTGGCCCGTGAGAAAAGATTTAACCTACAGTAAAAAAGGAAGTGGAAAGGCTGCAGATAGATGAATAGAATAGAAAATCCCTTTATTGTTGCTCAGTGGGGAAAGCTAGATGTCACAGCAGCGATGACACGTATTACAGGAGAAAAAAAGGAGAATAAAAAATAAGAAAAATGAATAAACAAGAAAACATAAATCCTGAATAGATTTTAAAAATGCTGATTGAACCACAAGTAATGAATACCACTGATGTGTTTTATTTGTAACTGACTTGCTCGTGTGTAATTTGGTTATTAAACATTCAGTGTTAATGCAGAAATATGTTTGTTTCCAAATTTAAAGGTTCAAAATTATATATATGTTGATAAAGAAAATGTGCAAATTTGCCGTCACTTTTTCAAAAAATATTAAGTTTGGCCCCCGACTCCGTCCCAGAGTTTCATTTCGGCCCCGTGTGAGTTTGAGTTTGACACCCCTGATGTATCGCATTGCTGGTAGCGTATCGAGATGTGAATCGAATGGCCTCGGTGGAGGAGATTCACGTCCCTACTCTATATAGACTATAATGGTAATAGCAGCTATGTTTCCAATGCTGTTCTGTGCTGCTGGATTTCTGGATTTGGGCTGATGCTGAGTTTTAGTTTTTTTTATTCTGCAGTCTGAGTCAGGTGGTATAGTTTGCCAGACCGTTATCAGGAGCAATGCACACTAATTAGAGTGTGGGCCAGAATGAGGATCATATTTGCAGGAGGTTTATTTGAGTAATGAATATGTTAAGTTGAACTTTAAAGGAGCTGTTAACAGGTGTTTAAAATAAGCCCCCATAATTCTGCAGCAAATTTGAAGCCAACAAGGAAGTGGCAAAAATTGCAGTTCCACCCTCATCCACTAGGGTCTGGCAGCAGAAGTGAGCAAATCCTCATTGACTCCCATGTTAAAAATGGTCATTTCACAGCAGAAATAAACATGTTTACAGCCTGGTTCAAAAAGCCATTTTAGGTTTAACATTCATGACAACTCTGAGGGGGGAAATGTTTTTGTAACTCTTTTTTTTCAAGTGGAATTTATTGCTTAAAAATCAGAACAATTAATTAGCATCCACGTGACTTCAGAGCTAGCTCACGTTAATAGATGTTCAGCCATTTCTACTCTCTTAACCTTTTTTCTGTGTTTGTGTTCATGTTTGGATGTTAATCATGGAATCAATTGGACAAAAGGGCACTTTTGAGTCGCTCAACCACATTTTCCTAGCTGAAAACACCCGGAAAAACACGGTTAGCTTCGGGTTAGTATGTAGCTAATGTCCCGCAGATCTCCGGCTCCCAGAGAACAGTCCATCAACAATGGCGGACATGCAAATCTTTCACCGCAGTTGACCAAGCCCGATATCCTCGGTCAGCTTACCTCGTTATGATTTCATTACTAAGCAGGTGCCTTTACTTTGGAGCTGCTCTACCACCTTTTTCTTACTGAAAATGGCAGGAAAAACTCAGTTAGCTTTGGGTTAGCATGTAGCTAATTTCCTGCTTATCTCTGACCCTGGAGCAAGAGCTCATGTCAAAGGCCACGGCGCCCGGTTACAATCGCAGCAGTCTGAAGCTCCGCTTTTAATTCAACAGTCCCAGGCGATCAGCATGACTACAGCCTCGCAGAGAAGCCAGTCTGCCGTGTGGGTGGGATACCCCGGTTCAAGGAGCACTTCTTAGCTTCTTGGGTTAGCCAAGTTAGCTAGCAGCTACACTGGTTCATTTGTTCCAACCCTGTTCCAAACAAAACAGCCCCACCCTTAGCTCCACCTCTTTTCCCATTTTTGGACTGTCTAGGCGTGACAGGACCTGTGACACGGTCAACATGGCGGAGGTGGGAACCTCCCATTTGGGTACAACCAAAGTCTGGAAGAAGCCTCTGGGATGAGAGGCTAAATGTCTCCAACATATCCAGAAACGTCCAGCTGTTTTCAGCTAAAACTCTCAGGATGATCATGTCCAGGATGACTGAGAACTACACCTCCATGCTGCAGCAGCATTCAGTCAGAACAGGAAGCCAAACTTAAATGTAGCTGCTGTCAGTAACAATCTAACAGATTTAAACATTAAAACTCTCAACAGAAATAATTCAGAAAGGAAATTAAAATGTTCACAACTTTGTGTGTGATTTATTATTATTATTATTATTATTATTAATATTATTATTTATTGTGCCAGAAGCTGGTGTGGTCCACCACAGAGAAGCTGCTCTAGCATGATGACTTTAATTATTCTACAGGTTATTGTTCAGCCTTCTGACGCTCACACACACACACACACACACACACACACACGAGTGTTGGTGAGCGTCTGCGTCTGACTGCTGACGCTCCATGTGTGTTTTTATTTCTGCAGTGAGACAAACTCACCTCACACCGTCCAGAGTTTGTTCTTTAAAGCTTCTAGTAAATCCACCGTGTTGACGTATTTAACACGTTTCCTCTACGCTGCAGGAGTTAAAGTTTACATCACAGAGTAAAAGTTCGGCAGACACGTTTGGGTGGGGGGAGGGGGGACGGTGCTGCACACAGACAGCTGGTGTGATCAGCTCTGAAAAGCGATGATTACAATTTGCAGATCACGTTTATTTTTCATGAAGATCGGCCGCGGATTCCTCTCCCGTCGGCATTCTAGGAATCGAAATAAAAAACTTTCAACAGTTCTGGGAAAAACTCACAGTTGGTCCCGGTTCCAATCGATGCTCGATGCCCAACCCTATGTCTGACTCAAATCATGTAACGATAATCAGTCTACACTTTGTTGTGCAAAGATAATAAACAGTCCTAAGAAAAATATATGTTAACTCTGTTTCACCACTATTATAAAAAAATGCATTCCAGTGTATAAATGGAAAGATTTCTTTTTCAATCCTTCATCTTAGCGGTGGGATTTACATGGAAACAGGAATAAATAAAGTGAAACTTTATTGGGGCTCATAATGGCCCAGGAGCCCAGATAAAGGGCTAAGTACAACCCCATGAATTGGCGAATTGGCCCTACAATGAAAAGGCTACCCCTACGGTGTGTGTGTGTGTGTGTGTGTGTGTGTGTGTGTGTGTGTGTGTGTGTGTGTGTGTGTGTGTGTGTGTGTGTGTGTGTGTGTGTGTGTGTGTGTGTGTGTGTGTGTGTGTGTGTGTGTGTGTGTGTGTAATTTACCTCCCACTGTAAGTGTGGTGGGATGTTTCTGATCTGCAGTTTCCTGGTCCTGTGGAAAAGAACACATAAGCGTGAGAAATTCTTACAACTAAGAAAACAAAAATAAAAACAATGTAATGATATTTTTCAACAATTTTGGGAATATTAAGGAATACAAAGAAAAACACAACTTAAGATTTTCTGTTTGATGTGAACCAGCTAGTGTTGAGAGTCAATTACAAAGTTAGACTAATAGACCTTTCAGACTAGGGTCAGCTGTGTCTGGGCTGGATGGCGTTATCTGTGTGTTGTTCAGGCTGAGCTGACTGCAGCTCAGACTGGCTGTTCCCGCCGCGCCAGCGCGACGACTGACCGTCTGCTGTGAGCACCCCTGGATGGGAGAAGAGCCCACGGCAATGAGAAAGTAGGAAGCTGTGTGGTTCATGCCAGTCTCCAAAAGTAACACTGCTCACACCTGCCCGAGATGGGGGGTGTCCCCACTCGGCCCAGGCCAAAAAGACCCAAGTGTAAAAAAGTGGCTTTCCTGACCCAAAACCGGAACACAACACACTCAAAACAAAATATATTTAAATTTCACTGAAACTATACATGAACCACACACACTGTTAAGCAGTAGTTCTAAAGTCCAACGAGGAGTGTGTGTGTGTGTGAAGGAGGCTTCACTGGAGCACATCTAGACTCATTCTTACTAATGCTGCTTTTGTTATATAAATGTGAGTAAAGTTTAAAACTACCTCAAGCAATCTGTCCATTTAGAGAGAGGCAGCAGAAACAGCCAGAAACTAAATAGATTCAAACTAAAGGATTTCCAGTATGAGCACATCTAGAAATAAAATTCCTTATAAAAAGGACTCTAGGAGAGGCGCACATCCTGCAAACATGGGTCGGACCCAAACACAGGGTGGTTCGTTGATGTTCTGATGGCGCGAGTGTTACAGTGGGACGTCCTCTACTGCCATGGCAGAACACCATCTGTTCCACACTTTCAGGCTGCAGCACATAACCAAACTAACTTTAATGGCAACACACAAAGCTGTTGGACGCTGAACTGCACGTTTGTGCTGACTCTGAGATGCCTTTAGACCAGAGCAGGGGCCTCCAACACCTCGCTCGCGAGTTAGCAGTATCTCCCGAGTCCCGACGCACCTGAAAGTGGCTCGCCTGGACCCATCATCCCGCCCGACTCCAAAAACGACGGCCTGATTAACAAGGGACGGCTTCTAAATGTGATGGCAAACCGTTTTCTGTAATATCTAATCTAAACTTTGCTTTTTGTGGAAGTAAAATAAAAGTCTGATTCCTGCACAAATCTTTCAGCAACTGTGTACTACTGGAAATACACAGATTCTTGGTGGGGGGGGGGGGGGTCTGTCAGCTTTCAACACAGCAGCTGGAAGAGGTCGTGTCTGCAAAGACGACGGGGAACTGTTGGTTATAAAGACCTAGTTTGAGTCTAAGGAGTCTGACGTTGGGCTGAAAAACATCCTCAGTGAAATATTCTGGGTGATATTTCTGTTTTTACATTTTCATTTCAGTTCTAACTATTTAGGCTTTAATGTTTTCATCACATTTAACTTGTTGATATTTAAATGTTTTTAAATAGCTTTATTAGGTTTATGAGAATTTTTGTGTAGCTTTGTTTGGGAAAACACTCATAGCACATTAATTACCTGAAATGTTTTGTATCAAATACAATTTAAAGAACATTAAATGTTCTTTAAAGGGCATTTTATACGTTTTGGGAGTATTTGTTGTTGAAAACTATGAAAAACTGACATTGCTGCTTAGGGCGGGGCCCATGGTCAGGGACTGAAGGAACTGGTCAGCTGTTCAGTTCTGTTACTGATCCATTCGAATAAAATGTCAACTCATTCACAGGAAGTAGAATTATAATTTGTTATCTGTATCTGATTTGTTAAAACAACTAAATGTTTAGTTTTGTCAGAGTTTCAAACTCAAAGGAAAGTTGCTGTTTTTAATATTGAAATACAGAGAAAGCCCCTTGTGAATACAATGCATGTCAACATTGTAAACAGCATTTTTTAACATAGTAAACATTTTCACACATGTAATAACGGTACGGCAGCAGCGCTTCGGTACTTTCAGTGAGTAAAAGTAGCTCACAGGACATAAAAGGCTGGAGACCCTGCTTTAGATAGTTAAAGTATATTGAATAATAAATGAATAAAAGACATTTAAAAGTACAACTCATCTTTCTTACACGTCTAATCTAATTTCCCCAGGGCAATAGAAAATTATAATCATAGAATATGCTCGCACGCACACACACAGTCACACACACACACACGTATATAAAACGGAGTGTTTTGTTGTATTTTTTCATTTGAATCTGTTCGTTTTTGTCTCAATGATCACCATCGTTACTAGGATTTATGCACACATTCAGATAATATGAATTGATAAAATCATGAACATAAACCTTCATTTATCTGGAATTAAATGACCTCAACTGCACCGTTACTCTTGACTAAGCTAAAGTATTTTTGTAGCTACTGGTTAAGTCAGCGTGGCATTAGAAAGAAGAAGAAGAAGAAGAAGAAGAAGAAGAAGAAGAAGAAGAAGAAGAAGAAGAAGAAGAAGAAGAAGAAGAAGAAGAAGAAGAAGAAGAAAGAAGAAGAGGAAGAAGAAAGAAGAACAAAAACAAGAAGAAAGAAGAAGAAGAAGAAGAAGAAGAAGAAAGAAGAACAAAAACAAGAAGAAAGAAGAAGAAGAAGAAGAAGAAAGAAGAAGAGGAAGAAGAAAGAAGAACAAAAACAAGAAGAAAGAAGAAGAAGAAGAAGAAGAAAAAGAAGAAAAAGAAAGAAAGAAGAAGAGGAAGAAGAAAGAAGAACAAAAACAAGAACAAAGAAAGAAAGAAAGAAAGAAAGAAAGAAGAGGAAGAAAGAAGGAGAAGAAGAGGAAGAAAGAAGGAGAACAACAACAACAACGAAAGAAGAAAGAAAGAAAGAAAGAAGAAGAGGAAGAAGAAAGAAGAAGAAGAAGAAGAAGGAAGAAAGAAGAAGAAGAAGAAGAAGAAGGAAGAAAGAAGAAGGAAGAAAGAAGGAGAAGAAGAAGGAAGTATCATTTCTATAACGCCTCAAGATAAAAATCACGAGGCGCTTCACAAAAAAAATTGTAAAAATATAAAAAAAGAATTTAGAAAATGATTAAAATACATTTAAAATGAGCAAAAATAGGCAATTGCGATTAAAAAATGTAAAGAAAGAGAGAGAGTGAATAGGAAAGAGAAATCAGTGGATCCTGAGAAAGGTGGAATAGGTGGGGAGAGCAGAATAAAGAGAGGGTGATGAAGGTCACACCAAAGCCTGAACAGGTTCAGCTGCTTCTGAAAGGAGACCACTGAGTCCACTGATCTCAGGCTCAGGGGGAGAGAGGTCCAGAGTCTGGGGGCCACAGCAGCAGATGATCTGTCACCTTTGACCTTTAGCCTGGTGCTGCACAACCAGTAGGCTTTGATCACTGGACCTCAGGGACCTGCTGGGGGTGTAGGGACTGAGAAGATCACCAATGTAAGATGGTGCTTGTCCATGTAAGGCCCTATAGACCAGAACCAGGATCTTGAAATGAACCCTGAAGTTGACTGGCAGCCAGTGAAGCTGGAGGAGAAGCGGGGTGATGTGGGTGTGTTTGGAGGACTTGGTCAGAAGCCGAGCACAGGCGTTCTGAGGTAAGATACCAAAAGTGTTTTAGGACACCTGTTTACTGAAGGGTAAACTCCAATCGGTTAAATAAAAATAACTCCTCAGCTTCTTGTCTTCAGTCAAAGACGGGTGGAGATGACTGCTATCATCAAACTGGTCCAGCAGAGGGCGACATGTGGCCACACAAGCTCCCCGCACCACAAACACAGTTACATCTGGTTACAGCACACCCACTGCTTCAGGTCTGGCAAACAAAGCACACATCCAGCAGCACCACGATGAGGCTCTCAGCTCAGCTCTGGTGTGTCTCCAGTCCCCCCGCCCCCTCCCAGTGCAAGCTGCTGGGAAATCAAATGTCCATCTCTGGTATGGCCTTCCCAGGTCAGGGCATCCATCAGCCACACGGCCACACAAACAGCCACTCACAGTCACACCTAGGGGACCTTTCTAATCATACATGTGGCCTTTCTCTCAGGCACCTGGAGGAAACTCGTGCATGCACAGAGCCCACATTACAACTGAATCTAAGGAAGAGATCAACCTGACCCTAGTTCCAACATCTGCTGCATGTTTATTTTGAGTTAGTTTGATTATTCTCTCTGTACATGGCTTTTGGTTTTTACATTTTCAGAACCGATCATTTACATGTTAGTCTGGAAGCGCCAAGCTAACTGAATTTCTTAAGAAAATTAATTTTAGAGAGAAAATGTTATGTTACATGGAGAGGGCTGTGTGTTCTTAATGCAAGTAGGCTATTGGAGGAGGGGTGCAGTGTTACACTGGGGGTCAAAGTTCAGCCTGCGATCGCTACCCTGAGCCCACCTACTGCTAGTGAACTAGTCCTCCATTTCAGATGGGCTTGGTTTTGAAGTTTTGGCTCTAGAGTAGGTACGTCTCATCAGTTCTGTTTTACAGAAAGTTTATTTCTAAGATTGTGTTGAAAAGTCACTTTTGCACATGATGCAGGTAGATTTATCTAAGAGAGTCCCACGTAGTTTAAGTAAGGAGTGCTGCCTACATTTATTAGCTGTTCCGTTCTTCAAAGCAAATTGAGGGTTAGACTGCAGGACCACCGGATTGGTGTGTGTTCTCAAAGAATGAAGTTCGTTCCACTCTACTATGGTAGGTGGCGACACGCGCCCTTTCATATTAGTTTAGGTTCACTTAGCAACACAAATAATAAACAAACACTGGCGGCAGTAAAGCAGATTCAATAAAAAAAAAACAGGATAAGCACGATGGAAGGAATGTACAACAACGCTGCAGTACAGCTCATGTGGAACATACCGGACTGTTCGATGATGTTCCTCATGTGACACTGGCCCAAAGATATTATCAGAAGACCGCTTCTGCGTTCTCGTCACGTCCGGAAGCTCGACCGACCCGTTTACATGCAGATGAACTATACTCGATTAGAACCAGTTCGACTTGGGCCAGACTAACGCGTTTGAATGCATTTTAAAAATCCAACATCTGTCTAAAGTTCGGTTTTCTGATGTGAATGCTGCCATAAATAAAAACATTTCATTTAGTAAAACTTAAGGCGAGGCCAAATCTTTTAGATCCCTCTTATATACAGCTTTGTCTATGAACCCATGTGAGTGAATGTCGGCTCAACGCCTTTTTAACCACTTTAGTGAGACCTTCATCACCACCTCTCCTCGTTCTCTCCTATTCCACCCTTCCCGGGATCCACCGATTTCCCCTTTTACTTTTCATTTTCTCTCTCCCTTTCCTTACATTGTTAATCACGATTTTTTTT